TGCCTGCAGGTCTGTCTGCAGCACCTCCATGAACCACTCCTCCACCACCGAGTGCAGGTCATAGCACTGCAGCACGTCCAGGGCTGCCCGGAGCTCCGCATCCTGCAGCGGCCCCGCAGCCTCGGGCCTCGGGGCTGCCTGGAAAGGAAAGGGCAGGGGGAACACTGAGTTCAGCATTTGATGGAACACACACACACACGGACTCTACTGCCAAACAGCACCTGGTGGATGCCTGACAGGGTCTCAGCCCACTGCTGGAAGCCCAGCGCCCACCTCCCAGGGTTCACACCCGCACACATCCATCCATCATCCATCCATCCATCACTGTCCCTGCTGGTGGCTGCTGCAGGACACACATCCTGGAGGGAATGCTGCGTGACACCCTTGGGTGCCTGAAAACGCCACACTGTGGGGCAAAAACCTTCTGCACGGCCAGGTACTGGGGTAAAACCTTTCCTCACGGCCAAGCTCTGGGGCAAAACCCTTCCTTGGCCAATGCCAGCTCCCTCGGGGAGCGAGCGGAGCAGACCAGCAGCTCGGCCCGGGGAAGCTGCGCCCCTTTGGGCACATCCCTCTCCTGGCTGGGGTGATGGGGAGAGGGGCCGGCTGGACCCCGACAGCCCCCGGGAGACACCACCCGCACACCCCCAGGCGCCCCTTCCCCTCTCCCCCCGCAGAACCCCGGCGGCTCGGGCCGTTCCTCCCTCAGCCCCGGCGGCTCGGGCCGTTCCTCCCTCAGCCCCGGCGGCTCCGCCCGCACCGCGGGCCCGGGGGCGGAGGGGCCCGGCCGGGGAGGGGCCGAGGCCGGAGCCCTCCGGGTGGGTGCCGAGGGAGCTCAGGGCCCCCTGAGGGCCCCCCGGTCCCCCTCACCAGCCCCAGGGCGGCGGGCGGCACCAGCGCGGTGCTGAGCGTGTGCCAGGCGGCCGAGAGCTCCATGCGGGCCGGGCCGGGCCGCAGGAAGGGGCGGAGCGGCGATGAGCGGGGCCGGGGCCGCGCTGCGGGGGCAGCGCCGGGCGCTGCGGGAGGGTGAGCGGGGCCGGGGCCGGGCGGGGCAGGGCCGGGGGCCGGGCCGGGCCCGTGTGACGGTCGGTGCCGCCCCGCAGGGCTGTCGGAGCTCCGCGCCCGGCGGGACGAGCTGAGCGGGCGGATCCGGGCGGAGGAGGCGGAGCGGGCCCGGCTGCAGGCGCGGATGGCGGCGCTGGCCCGGCGCTTGGCCGACACCAGCGAGAGCCTGGCGGGGCTCCGGGCAGCCCGCGCCAACATCGACCGAACCATCGCCGAGACCGAGGCGGCCTCCGGGCAGGTACGGAGGGGCTGCACGGCGGGGTGTGCCGGGGCCGGGCAGAGACCCCGCTGCGGGGGAACATCCTCCTGAGAAGCGGAGGGAAGGCACCGATCTCTGCTCTCTGCAACCCGAGGCGATCGTGGAATCCAGAATCGCAGAATATGCCGAGCTGTAGGGGACCCACAGGGATCATCCAGTCCAACCCCTGGCCCTGCACAGACACCCCAACAATCCCACCCTGTCCCTCAGGGCATTGTCCAAACCCTCCTGGAGCTCTGGCAGCCTTGGGGCTGTGCCCACTGCCCTGGGGAGCCTGGTCAGTGCCAACCACCCTCTGGGGGAAGAGCCTTCTCCTGAGATCCAACCTAATGTGTCAGGGGAGGTTTAGGCCCCAAGGCTGCCAGAGCTCAATGAGCATTGGGACAGCACTCTTGAGGGACAGCGTGGGATTGTTGGGGTGTCTGTGCAGGGCCAGGACTCGATGGTCCCTGTGGATCCCTTCCAGCTCAGGGTGTTCCATGATCCTGTGAAGTCAGGAGCTGGTTTTGTCTGAAGGTCTGTCTGCAGCACCTTCAGTCTGTCTGAAACAACTGCCCTGGCTGCTGCCTGGGACATGGTTCCAGCTCCAGCACACACACCCTGGTCATGGGGGGGGGGGGTTGAGTTGGATTGGGATTAGTTTTGGTGTTGTTTTTGGGCAAAGCTTATTGTCCTAACACATCACAGTGGTCCTTGAAACAGACCCCTAAAAGCAACCCTCTCACAGTCATCGTTTGGGGAAAAGGAGGAAACCAGAGACAGGACACTGACCCAGAAGCCTATGAATTCATGCAGGTAACAACAGTGCTGATAGAGCTGTTGCCCTGACACTCTTCCTGCCCAACATTTAGTGTAGTTTCTTTCATCTTTAATAGAATAATGTCATTAAGAGTCAAAATGTTGGGGCAGTAGAAGGTGGGAAGGAGCAAACAGTGTGAGGACTGGTGCTGTCATTTCAGCTCCTGGGACAGCTCTGCCCTTTCACTGTTTGTGGACTTGTAAACTGCCAGGCAGGGATTGCCTGATCCCACATACAGGATCAGAGCTGGAGTCGCTTCTGCATTACACACCCACCAGCTTTTTATTTTTAAAAAAGGATCTTCCCAGACTACTTGCAGATAAGTAGCAATTTTCCTTCTGTTGGTGACAGGGCAGTCTGGGCCAGAAGGAAACCCCTGTTAGCTGCTGTCTTCTCCCATTTGCTTTTTGAACATTATCAACTACTCTGTGTCAGCTCCTCTTCCTCTCCCAAAGTCAGTACTTTTCCATGACAGTTATTTTTCAGGTGAGGCTGGAGCTGTTTCCTCAGCCTGCTTCAAGACCTGATGGTTTGAAGTGAAGGGGGAAACTCACATAAAAAATTAACAGCTTAAAAATTGCATTGTAAAGGTACACAAACAGCCCCTTTGAAAAGAAACCTTACCTGAGATCCCAGTCACACCCCCAGCCTACAAATGAATTCCTGTTTATTGAAAGGAACTCCCAGGAGGTATAAAGAGGTGGTGAGGAGGAGATGCAGGTGTCCTACAAACAGAAACCAGTAACAGAGTTCCTGTCCTGGGGATGTACAGCACTGGTTTGTGATCACTCCTTGCTTTCCCCAGTCCCCACAGGACTCCACCTTCCTCCAGGATGGCAAGACCCCACCAGCACCTCGTCCTGCTGGGCACTTCCCTTTGGCTCCTCTCTGACCACTTAGTGATTTCCACAAGCTCACAGAACATAAAATGATCTTTGGGATCCCAGCTATCACATTCTGTTACAATTGTCCACCATGTTAAAATTTTACACTGGTGAGATGGACAGGCAGCCAGGTCTCCTAAACCTCTTGTGGCCTAGAGCACAGTAAGCAGGGATGTTAGATTATGTGCACTGTAAGCTAAAAATAGGAGAAAATTAATAAAAGATTTACTCTGACTTAAGGTCACTGTGGAGTTGAGTTCTGGCTTGAAGCCAGAAGCCCAAAATGTGCAGTTTTAACAGCAGAACAGAGTTGAAACCTGAACACAATACTGATTTAAAAAGCCCAGGGATCAACATCTCCCTTAACGAAACCCAACCAACCAACCCCAAAAAAAACCAAACCAACCAAAAAAAACCCCAAAAGTTCAACCCAGTCTGCTTTGGGAAGTTCTCTGCCTTGTGCTCCAAGGCAGATAAATTGCTTAAGGTGTTTTGTATTCAGAATATGGGCACAAACCAGAGAAATTCCCCCACAGACATTCTTGCAGGAACGTTAGAGGATGATACATCCCCAGGAATTAGGGACTGTAGGGGCTGGAGAACTCCTCTTGCTGCAAGGCAGGTCAGCTGAACTTGAAGGGAACTCATAAGAGAAACAGTTTATGTAAAAATAAGCTATTTTTATTTCTTTCCCAGGTACTGGACAATTCTCAGACATTGCTAGATATCCTGAAGGGAGAAAGTGGGAATGATGTAAAGCCAGTGAGCCACAAAGCAGTTCATTAGGACAACAAGCACATCAACAAAAGCGTTCCTAAACTTGATTTTCAGCCTGGGAAGTCCTGCTGGTCTGGGACAGCTGCTGTTCTGGTACAAGGACACCACATTTAATAAAAGCCTTTGTTTTGCAGAAGTAAATTTTCCTTTCAGACGTGCTTTGGTATTAGTTAGAGATCCACTAAAGTTGATCCTCAAGTGTTAGAGATGAGGGTAGGCATGTACAAAAAAAATACCCTTTATTTTGAGCACAGTGATCCTGAAGCTGCTTCTGCCCTCAGAACAGCACTCACCTTGCCCTGCCAGGAGTGAGCTCAGGGTACCTGGCACTGACAGGGATCAGAGCAGAGCTGGGGAGCACAAAGGCAGTGCTGGGTGAGGTGTGAATCAGGGGCAGGGTAGAGCAGGAGAGCTGGAGGAAGGAGCAGAGGAGCCAGCAGCACACAGGGCAGCACGTGCTGCATCCCCCAGCTCCTGAGCCTGTCCTGCCCACGGGGCTGCAGGCACTGAGTCAACTCAGGGTACAGCACAACGAGTACCAGAGCAGTGTTTCAGCTGCCTGAGGTCAGGGGAACAAGCTGCAGGATATTGTTGGCTTTAGCATTCCTCATTGATCCATAGCAGAATGAAGTCAGGACTAATTCAGACACCTTGTCCCTAACTTGAGCTGAAAGCAGCTTTTGCCTTACCACCTGCAGTTTTGCTAAGCTGTGACTCTACAAACAGAGCTGCCTTAAACTGACCTGGGCTTTTCCACAGGGAAGGATGCTCACTGGGACCTTTCCTGCTAAAAAAGCTGTGAAAAAACTTTTCTTCAAACGTAGTCCCTGGTCTTTGGCTGTGGGCAGTGTTTTAACTCCACACAGCTGAGAACTTACCCCTTAAATTTTCCTTGCATTTTCCCCTCATTCTACCCCAGTGTCAGCACCTTGTCCTGAAGTATTCCATATAACACATGGAATTCCCCAGTACCCACAGTACCTGACACATGCCTGTGTCATGTCCCAGGCAGGTGCACTGCAGACATGTCCTGCTCCTGGGAGATCAAGCAGGGAGCAGGTCTTGAGTTGGCCTGGACAGGACAAGGAGGTGCCAAGTGTTCCTTTGTGGCCCTTCCAGCCAACATCTAACAAACTACTGAGTATCTCATCTTTTTCTGTGTGTGTGTTCTCTTTCCAGAAGTATTTAGGCACAGAAGGGAACAGCTACAAGCAGGTATGTACTAACATTTAATCCTGACTGTGTTTTTCAGCAGAACAACCTTCCCCTGCTGCTACAATACACACCAAACCCAGTGCAAGGTATGCAGAGCATTTTCAGTTCACAGACCTCGAGTAGATATCCATCATCTCTGTATAACAGACAAACCAATAAACATTATCAAATTTAATCAAAGATTCCAGCCTGTTCCTTTGGACAGAGCCCCACGCTGGGGTACCACTCATTCCATAAAGCCCAAAGAGGCCAGATCTTTTCCAACTGCATCTCTTTTAATCCCAAAGTACAAATCACATTAGCAGCAGTGTTCTATCTGTTCCAGAGTGCAATTTTGACCCTGAGTTTACAGTAGTAGAAAATGTAAATGGAAGATTCTAGCAGATTCCTTTGCATATTGGCTGCATTAAACAATTACAATAGAACTATAAAAATCCTAGAAAAAAAACAAAACAAAAAAACCCACATTCCTTGTTCAAGTTCTGCAGAATTAAGGAGTGAAAGTGCCCTCCTGTGCTTTGATTAGAGGAGCAGAGCGAGCGTGGTTCAAAGGAATCCTCCCCACAAACCAAGACAGATCAGTCAGATTTGGAACAGAGCAACAAGAGGAACTGGCAAACTGGAGCACAACCAGCAATTCCTAGAGACTGGATGCCAAAATTGGGTATGGACAGAGCAAAGCTATGGCCAATGTTTGGGAATTTTCAAGAGGCTCGAGGCAGCCTGGACACTTGGTTACAGATTGGTGCAAAAATGACACCTAAAGCTAAAGGCATTCATTCCTCTCCCCTCCCTCACAGGGTGTTCATGTAACTGGCACATTAATTCCATGATGGTTCAGTGAAACCAGTCCCAGAAACATGCCAAGAACAAACCATGAACCTTCAATGGTTTTCCAAACTGACACCTTATCTGTCAAATCACAGCCACGCTGTGAATCCAGCTCAGATGCTCCCAGTGCTCCAAATCCAGAGCCATTCTCCACTGAGACCTCTGATGGGAAAAGTGTTACAAAAGCTGTCCAGACCCCACACAGTGCCTGGACTCAGATAAGCACCGAGAGAATCAACATCCATCCCAGGATTAAAGCTCTGCCCTTCACACACTTGCCTAATCAGCAGCTGATCTTGAACAAGGAATGTGCAAGGCCACAGGCAGAATAAATCATATGCCTCGAAAGTAGTAATTAGGTCCCAAAATCCAGTGCAAATATTCTCTGAAGATGCCCGACAGCATCTGGTCCCCCCTTGGCATCAGGATCCAGCGCACAGTGGGGCGGGAGGGCGGCGGGTGCCGTCCCGGGCCGGGGCGGGTGCACTGACACGTCCTGCCCAGCAGCTGCTGCTGCAGGACCGGCGATGAATCCGTCAGAAATAGAGCGCGGGCTCGCTGCTGAAATCGGAGAGCCCGCCCTTCTCTGCCGGGGTGAGCTGTGGAGAGAGAGGAGGGCTCATGAAATCAGAGCGAACGAGCACCCACGCCTCTGCACTGGCACCTTGCCCGGGGCATCAATTCCCCCCTCCAAATATGCCCTGGATTATCACAGGATCCCACAATAGTTTGGATTGGAAGGACCCTTAAAGCCATGGGCAGAGTCACCTTCCACTAGTCCAGGTTGCTCCAAGCCCAGTCCAACCTGGCCTTGGACACTTCCAGGGATGGGGCAGCCACAGCTTCTCTGGGCAACCTGTGCCAGGGCCTCCCCACCCTCACAGGGAAGAATTTCTTCCTAAAATCTAATCTAAATCTCTTCTCTTTTAGTTTAAAACCCTTTCCCCCTTGTTCTATCACCCACCCATGTAAAAAGTCCATCTCCCTCTTTTTTACAAGCCCCTTTAGTCCCTGGAAGGGGCCCTCAGGTCTCCCTGGAGCCTTCTGATTTCCAGATGAACACCCCCAGCTCTCCCTGCCTGGTTCCAGAGCAGAGGGGCTCCTGCCCTTGGAGCACCTCTGTGGCCTCCTCTGGACTTATTCCAACAAGTCCATGTTTTTCCTGTGCTGAGCACAGAGTGTGCAGCTGCCTTTAGTCTCATTCACACAGAGAGACAGGTCTGTTAGTGGCAGTGGGACCGTGTGTTGGTCCCTTTGGGAGCAGTGACACCTCCCTGGACAGTGAACACAAAGGCACATCCGTCCCATCCACTGCCCAGAACAACCCCAGCACCACAGGACAGCACAGCAAGACTTCCTTATTTAAAGCCTCACCATCTCTTGGTTCCCATGGGAATCAGCTTCCTTTGGGAGGGGTCCCTCTGCAGCAGGACCCTCATACTTCTGCTCCTGCCACTCGCTGAACTTCACGGAGTGCTTTGGGGTGTAGCTGGATAAATCTGCTGGAGGAGAAAGCTGGTGTAAATATTCCTCACCACCCCAAAAGGAAGCAGGGCCAGGATCTCGGCAGGGACAGCACGGAAGCTGCCCAGCTGCAGTTCCCTGGTCACCTCCATTAGCATTTCCACCCACGTGGAGCCCCATAAGGGTCTGTAGGAAACATGGACCGTGTCACACACCACCAGAAACCCCATAGTGCCAACACAGGGCCTCACTCACCTGAGTTGGGTGTACTGGGATGCAAAGTGCCATTTGGGCGTGGAACGTAGAAAGGGCAAGATTTTTCCTCCTCTGTTTCCGAAGCATGGCCTTCCTCCTCCTCCTCCTCTTCTGCCAGGGAGCTCTCTGAGGGGTACTCAAACATAGTCTGCAAACTTGTCTCATTGAAGGAGATCTTCATCTAGACAACAGCAAAGCAGGATTGTCAGAGAGCAGCACAAGAACCCACTGATCCCAACGCTGGCTCTGGCACAGGCCACTGCACCCCAGGGCTGCACCCTGCTTTATAGGAATGACTGAATATCTCCCCACCCCTTCCCCAGTGCCTTGGTGGATCTCTTGCCATGCTGACAGAGAGCCAGATGGATGGGATGGAGGCAGGAGGCTGAGGGGTCCACACCACCTCTGGCTTTTTGCCCTTCACCATCATCTCACCGATGCCCAGTACCCAGGAGGAGCTGCCAGCGTGTCCCTCTCGAGATCAATGTTGCCAAGCAGGAAAGGAAAACATCCACATGTTGGAAAGGTGACATTGCTAATGCCTGACAACTCGTTTGTGTGCCCAGACTACAGAAATATGGGTGATCAGGACTCCAGTCTTAGGAGGACATCCTGCCAAAGAGTTATTTAAGCTACATAAAACAGGGCTTAATACCAGAAGTGAGAAGGTGGAAACAGCTAAAGGAGAGATGGTAACAGGTGGTAGCAGAGAAAGGAAAATACTGGACAAGGTTCTGGTTTGAAACCAGTTTCATTCAGTATTCTCACTAATGACCTTTGCACAGTAACTGGGAGAATGAAGGTGAATGAATGAAGGAGGAATTGAGGAATGAAGGTGACTCAAACATCAAGGGAAAACCAGAATTTTATGGGTCATGAAGAAAACTAGAGAGCAAGAACACTAGAAATGGAATGATGTTTAAGACCAACCCTTGCTCTAAGACAAGTTCATCACCTGTGAAGAACAGGAAGAAAATTTTGGATTTGCTACAGGATTGTAATCACCATTAGGATACTGCTTAAAGCAGGAATGAAGCTGCTGGAAATAGGGACTGCCTGGCTCCATCCTGCCTGTAACACCCATCAGGTGGTGAAAATAACTCCAGATATGCTCTTCCAAGCTGAAAAGAAAAGCTGAGGGAAGGGTTTGCTCCCCTGCAGCCTGTCCTGTCCTAATCATTATCTACCGCTGTGCTCCAAGGATCTGGTTACAAGTCACCTCAACAGGTGCAGAGGAGATTCACTGACAAAAACTTCCCACCAGCACAAGTGCAGGTTGAGAAAAAGCACCACAGCTCTTTAAGAACACCAGACAATAACCCCCAAGGAGCAGAGAGCTGCTGATGCCAGCACACAGCAGACAAACAAGGAGGAATTGCCAGGAATAGATTTATGCCAGAAGTAGGGAAGTATCCAGCCAACAGGGATCAAGGTTCAGGAGCAGCTGTCTAAAAGGGTGTTGTGATCCCTCTACTTCTAAATACAATTAAAACCCAGACAATAAGGTTATAAACAGAATTAAAAGGACGTGGGAGCTTGTGACAGGCGGCAGGAGCTGCATGGATCTCTCTAGATGCCGTGTAACGACTGGCAAGGAGCAAGGGCAGCACATTTTTTACCTCCTGTGCCATATTTGCAGTTACTCTCACACCCAAACTCCCCCACGGGCTGGGAAGTGGCACCTGGCCCAGGCAGCTCTCAAGCACCACATGTGCTGCCAGGTGCACCTATTCCCTGGAATAGCTGTCTCTGCCTGTCCAGTGGCCGGAGCATTGGTGGGGGCTGCTGAAGTCCTCGGGGGTCAGAGCTGCCAGTGGGCCACAGTGCCCCCTGTGCTGCCTGTGGAACCTGGGAAGTATGGGGGACCAGGGTCTGCAGGGCCAGACAGGGAGCATTTCACTGCTGCTTTTCAGCAAAACAGCAAGAGGAGTTTAACTCGAATCTGGGTAACAGAGTGAGCACGTGCACCTCCTCCACACTGCAGATGCACACTTGGGGTGCCACTGCACCCCGGGACGGGATGTACCTTGGACACACTCCCAGGATGGAAACAGCACAGAGGGCAACCAGCTGCCTTTCCCCATTCCCTGCCCCAGAGCCACTCTGACCTTCTCCAGACGACACATGGGGAGAAAAGTGATTAAACTTCAGACAAGTTGGAATAAAATGGGGTTGGAATAAAATGGTCCTGAAGATTAGAGCATCCCAGTTGCTGTTCCCTGAATTTCTCATCCCTGCTGCTGACCTAGATGCTCCCTGATCCGAGCCAGGCTGTGACTGCTCACAATGTGGTGTCTGTACTGGGGACGAGCCACACTGCCAGGCATGAGGGCCAGAGAGTGGAGGTGCCCAGGGCCCTGGAGGCTCAGGAGCTATCCCAGAACCAGGCACTGCACACAGGCTGCTTACCAGTGCTGGCAACTGCACTGAAGGGTAAGAACTACTTGGCTAAACATGGAAAACAAAGGAGACGGGAGAGATATGCCTTAGATTTAGAATTTAAGCTTGGGAGATGGAACTGAGTGTTCCTGGTTTTCTGTTATCTGGAGGAAATCTCTGAGAAAAATTACTTTGAGTCCAGTTTGGACCAAAGTTGCGTGTAGTGCTGGAGGAGGAAACAGCCTCACCAGGGAGCAAAACCAAAGAGCAGAACGCAGCAGAAGTGACCCAGTGCCCAGAGGCAACACCCCAACAGCCCTGAACTCACACAGCTCCCACTTCCCACAGCCAGTTCATCCGGGGCCATGCTTGCTCCTGGAGCAGGGCTGGGTGTCCTGCTGGAGTCCCCAGGCACCTGTGCAGGAGGCAGTGCTGGAGCCATTCACACAGAGCAATCATTAACCACAGCAGTGCAGCCCCACACACCCAGGGACAGCTGGGGACAGCTCAGGACAAGACAACCTGCTGCCCCAGCAACACACACCGAAGTTCACAGCAGCCAGTCGTGCGTGGCACGGCTGCACCATGGCACAAACCCCAGAAACCACACCGGGGGGGTGTCCCACCCTCTGCACCCACAGCCTGCTCCTGAGCACCAGCAGAGCCCCACAGAGCTGCAATAAAGCTCTGGACACACCCAGGCAGAGCAAACACAAGGAACAACCCGGAGCTGGCCCAGGGAAGGAGTGCAGGGAGCTCAGTCAGCCCTGCCCGTGCAGAGCACTAAAACCAGAGCAGTGAACGTGCCGAGCTGCCCTTCCCAAGCATGACGTGCTTTCGGGGAAGCACAACCCAAGCTTGACCCAAAAGACGAGGGAGGGGTGACATGCTCAGGCAAAACCAGGGGACACAGGAGCGGAGCTGCCTGAAGAAACAGAGCAGCTACAGAGCAGAACTGAGCACTGTGTGGGGAACACAGGCAGCTTCAGTCCCAGGAACCATTTAAATAGGAAAATCAAGAGCCCAGCAATGGCATAGACAACAGGTTTGCACAGCCAGCAGCCCCTTGCCAGACCACTGAGGCTTTTATGGGAACACAAAAGGCAAGAGGGGACGTTTCTTTAGAAGAAAAGTGTCTCCCAGCAGAGCCAAGCATGCTGGAGCCCAGCCAGAGGGCTCTGCTCAACGTGTCTCAGCACTGGTTTCCCCATTTCTGCCCCAGCAGCAGCTGCCAGTTGTGGCAAGGAAGAATTTTGCACCCTTCAGCTGTGGATGTTTGCAGGGATTTGTCACTCTTCACTCAGCTGAAGGCTTCACCCACAACTGTGTCACAAACCAACCCATATATCTATATATTAATACTCTGCCCAGCAATCAGAGACATGCTGGGAAGAGCAAAGCAGGCTTTCCAGGGGATATTGTGCTGCTCAGCCAACAGATTCTTGTTGCCATAGCAAGAACCATTTATTTATTTGCTAGGATTTGAACAGTAATGAGTAATAAAAGAGAGGCAGGAAAAGAGAAGGCAGGGTAAACATTGCCCAACGTGCGTAAATTTGAGTAGTCATACAAGGCTCATTTAGAAAAGAAAACAAAAGTCAACCTTCTTTCAGGGCAGGCTGCTTCCAGACCAACCACCAGAGAGGCCTCATGGACAGAGACTTATCAGAAATAAAAATAACCAATTTATAGAGCCCGACCTATGACATAAGCAATGACAGTCAGCAGATACCTCCAAAAGGGAGGTGGGAAAGTCTGCAAGGCAGTTTTAATGACAGAGCAAACACCCGATGGCTTCTCACACCAGGGATCTCTCTGGAAGTCTCCTGGGGTTAATCTGCATCCTCAGCTCTGGAAGCAATCTCTTTAGTGTGGCTTTTCTCTTCTACACCCATTATCACATTTGCTTCTTGGCTGATGAGGCAAAGCCCAAATGATTATGTAGGGTGTTTGCACCTTTTAAATAGGAACTTCTTTGCAATCCAAATCCTCACCTTGTAAGAGTCAGAAAAAAATAAATGTTCTAGGCATTAAAAGAGACCAACAAAATCACCCTTTAACTCTATTCCAGCAGGGACAGTCAGAGTCAGCATAATACTGATATCCCACAGCACCCAATCCACCAAGTGCTTCACCAGATCCAAACAGCTGAGCAGCACCAGAGATCAAGATTCTTCTTTTCAGGTACTAGTTTTCCTCTGATCATCCTCTCTCCTCAAGCAACATAATTCCCAAGTGACAAACCCAGGGACTGCTCTGACCCCCCAGGACACGTGTGGGCTGCCAAGTGCTGCTGGGTGTGATTTAAAGCAGCTTTTCACACCTGATCAATCCAGTGCCTCCTCCTCTCTCAGCAACGGCACAGAGGGCTTGGCTGGTATCTGCAGGGAGGGAGGACCATTCAGCATGAGTGAATCTCAGAGATCAAGCATGAACAAAGTGAGCGTTTGGGAGAACCTTGTGTTCCTGTGCAGTCTTACACTGAGCTGCTGCACTGGTTGTCTAAAGATTGGGTGGACAGCATGAAAGCACAAGGACATCCCACCTGACACCTGGCACTGCAGCAGCCAGCTGGGGGAAGCCTGTACACACAGGGCACCCCTGGGAGGTTTGCAAACAGCCCCCTGGGCTGGGCAGGAAAACTGCTCAAAGAGCAAACCCACTGGGTTGGTTGATGGAGGCTCTGCCCCCAGCAGAGCTCAGGACCCTTCTAAACACCAGAACAACCTCCCAGCTGCCATGGGGTGAGAGGGAAGGTCTCTGCATGGACAAATAACTGCTTTTGACACTGGAAACAGAGGG